TAGCAAGTTGATGTCAGTCAGCTTCGATGGTCCAAGCCAAAATTATATCGCATTTGAAGTTTCAAACTGAGTTAAAAATAGTGGAAGAAAAGCCGTAATTATACTTATTGTTACAATCCATTTAATAAAGTGCAACATTTTTTTGTTTTAATAAAAAAATCAGTTATTTTCATGAGAACGATTTGTTATTCCATCTCAATTTTTTTTAATCTCCAATCGCAATAACGTAAAGTATTATTACCCGCGAACCAATGAGTCAAATTTAAGAAACAACCCACTGTTAGAAAGCTGAATGGCTACGCTTTAAAATGAATGTAAACTTTAACGTTTTCGTCTATTATTTGTTTAGCAATTTACATTTCAGTCGAGGATTGCGCTTTTTTTGATACACCCTGTATAGCGGTGTTGGTTTTTGTCCGACCAAATTCAAGTTATGTCCGACCAAAATTAAAATTGATCGGACAAATGTCCCACGGACAAATGTCCCACCGATCGGACAATGCATGATTCCCACCGTGGTCAGGCAAACTTTTCAGCTTGCCCGGTGTGGGTGCGCACACTCAGAGTAACACCACGATTTTAAATATCACAATAACAGTTTACAAATATTAGAAATCTCATCTACCTACTAGAGTTCCGATAAAAAAGGTCTGCTTTTTGCACACAAAACATTCACAAAAACACCGTTTGTTCATTTTGTTTTTTCTTGTTTTTATTTGTGTACTTAAAACTACCGCTTGCTATAAAATTACATACTGCAGGCTCAACCTACACATAACCCAGTTATCTGCTAGACACCTATATACACATAACTCAGTTATCAACTGTATGGAGGTCACGGATTCAAGCTCCGTGTGGAACTCAGAATAGAATTATACCTGTGCTCCAACAATACCATTCCCACCATAGAACTCATGACCATACATATGCATAGATCCACCTTTACCCCTAGTTGTACCACTCTCACGGCCTTGAATAAGAATAAGACGGTTTTTACTCTTCGAAAATCGCCAGAATTTTGCGTATGTACCCCCACCCTAGTTCACTCGCAATGTATACATGGGGCTAACTGCAAATTAGTTTTGGCAACCTGCAAAAAAGGTAAATACATAAGTATGTCTACCAGCATGCAATGGGTAATTCTAGCTATAGGCTAAATTTTGATCTAGGCAAGAAGGACAAAATTCATCACCACAGCTAGAAAGAGCATGTTAAAATGAGTAAAATTGCAAAGTTTGGTTGCGAAATGTTGTTGTAAAATGAGGAAAATATAGCCCTATGAAATTTGCAAATTTTGTATTCATTTGTATTACGCACGGGAAAATGCACCACATTTGGGTGGAAAGTGGTGCAAAGTCCCGTTCGTAATACAAATTAATACAAAATTTGCAAATTTCGCAGGGCTATATTTTCCTCATTTTACATTTCGCAACCAAACTTTGTAAATTTACTAATTTTAACATGCATGCTCTTTCTAGCTGAGGTGATGGATTTTGTTCTTCTTGCCTAGATCAAAATTTAGTCTACAGCTGGAATTGCCCATTGTCTCATTCTAATTTCGCCCCAGTTGCATGTGATGAGGTCCAGCTGGGGTAAATTATTGCATCCAGTATTCCGCTTCCCTATCAATATGGGATGGCATTAACTGGAACTCTACAGAGAACAGTTTAGAACTGATAGAACTATCCAGCAAATGACTTTCAGAGAAGACATAACAAAAATATAAAATTTATTGGCTAACGTTTCGTTGTATTGTTCACAACATCTTCAGAGCAATTTGCTCTGAAGAGGTTGTAAACAATACTAGCCAATAAATTATATATTTTTGTTATGTCTTGTCTGAAAGTCATTTCCTGGGCTTTAATTTTCATTTTTAAATTACGCTTTCCACCCGTTGTATCAATCGTTATTGTTTTAGAACTATCCAGATTAAATAAGTCAGTTTAGTTTAGGTTTCTTCTTGTAGAAATACTGGAACGATGGATGGTAACTTAGGAATAGTGTCGATGATAGAGCTATCCTACACACAAGGAAGTTAATTTAGCTGAGGTTTCCTCCTGAAGTACCTGCACTGGACCATTACTGGACCTCTAAGGAGAACAATTTGATAGACCATAGCCTATCGAAGGCATGATGGCTGTGAAACTCATTATAATTTGTTAAATTTATTATATAAACATAAGTGTTATATAGAGTTTTTGGCCACTGAGAAAAATCGTACTTAAACACACGTAAAAAATACGATATTTTTACGTGTGAAAATATCATTTGTTGTAAAACGCATTGCCACGGACGTTTTATTGTTTTTCACTGAATTTTGTTTATATAATAAACAGAAAAATACATGGTTGCTTGCAAGGAAATACTAGATTTATTTCTCGTGTTGAACATGATATCTCACTCGTTCGCTGCGCTCACTCGTGAGATACCATGTTCAACACTCGAAATAAATCTGGTATTCCCGCGCACCATGTATTATTCTCTATATATTGTTATTCTAATAAGTTTCACAGCCATCATGCTTTCGATAGGCTATGGTCTATCAAACTATTCTCCTTAGAAGTCCAGGAAAGGTCCAGTGGTACTTGAGTTATAACTCATTATCTATGTTAATCAACGTTTATTCATAAATCTGGTCGTTCACATTCACGTGCGTAGTGTATTTTTGCCCAACTAATCAATAGCAATGTTTTAGGAAAGTTGCCTATGACCCGAACAATAGGGTAAATTGGAAATTTCTATTGGTGGATTTGGCAAAAATACAATACGCACGTGACGGCGAAGGACCAGATTTATGAATAAACGTTGACTAACATAGATAATGAGTTATATTGTTATTCTAATGAGTTTCACAGCCATCTTCCCTTCGATAGGCTATGAATAGACCTGATAGAGCTATTCAGTATTGATAAAGTTAATTTAGCTTAATATATTTACCAGTCAATTCAGCGAGAACTTCCAATGCACTCTTTCCTCTCATGTAAGTCCAGCCATGACATCGGTACGCTGTGATCACACTGTCATCTTTATCAATAGCATGTTCCATACCAACTGCGCATGCTTCCTAAAAGAAACAAGGTACAATATTTTAGCGGGTACTTTGGTACTTGCAATGAGAATTCGTAATTTTCACTTTTGTGACCGAGATTTGATAAAATTCACATCGATCATAAGTGAAGAGTGTTCCCAACGAAGATTGTTTCCAGGTAATACGAGGTTGCCAATTATAGTTTAGTTTGGGTTGTCTTCTGTAGTAACATCGGACCGATACTAAATGAATGGACCTCTTTGGAGAACAGTTTAAAACTGATACGGATATCCAGTATAGATTAAGACTATATATATCTACACTGGATATCTTAATATATATGTATGTATATTGGTATACTGATAGAGATATCCAGTATACCAATACTAAGAGAATGGACCTCTTTGAAGAACAGTTTAAAACTGATACAGATATCCAGTATAAGTTTAGTTTAGGTTTCCTCTTGTAGTAACACTGTATCAAAAAAAGATGACTCTAATTGGAACTGCTGGAACTCCAGGAAGAATAGTTCACAGCTGATAATACCGAAGGGTGTACCACTAAAAAAATACCTGAAAATCCTTGAATATCCCCCAATGAAACCCCCTCAAAATCCATGTAAAATTCCCCTAAATCCCTAATAATCCCAAAAAATCTCTAATAATCCCCCAAAATCTTTAAAAATTCCCACAAATCCCAAGGGATTTTCAAAATCCCAAAAGTACACACCTTGTGTGCTACACCCATCGCTCAGTTTTTCACGAATTTCAGTTCCAACATTATGTAAATTGAACATTACATATAATTATACACATTTTGTTATAGTCATCCCGTGGCGCAAAGCATTGTGGTATATATACAAGGAGCAAATAAAGGCAGTTGAATACGTAGTTCCTAGTTGCGATGAAAAGTGTTCAAAACCTAAAATCTTTTTGGCGTTCCTCTCAAAATTAATTTGTTTTAGCTTTATTATGTAGTTTACACAATTAGCAACCTTTTTAAATGTATCTGACGGTTGAGAATTAAATATTGTCAATTGTATATATAAATGCAATTATTAATTAACATTGATCAGCTGCAAAATTGACGCCATATTTATACAGCCATATAAGCAAAACTTACTGAACTTCAAACATCATTTTCTCTTTGGCGTATCACCTAAAATCTCTTCATTTTAGCATTACTTTACAGATAAAGCGCTAAATATACTTTGTAAGTTTGTCTGCCGCTTGAGAAACATATAAAAAATTTAGAAAATTGAATATAGTTATAACCAGGTCAAGTAGATAAGTGTATTCATTAGTTTGAGCGCGTGTTATACGTAACATACAAAAGATTCTCCTAAAAAGCTTGGTTTCCATTTCGTAACGGTCGTAAATTCTCATCAGCGGATATACAACATTTTAAAAATTGAAAATACGTGGAGTGATTATAAGTATATAACTAGAGAATACTTATGATTTATATATGATTTACAGGTGTAAATTATTATAATCTGGCCGTTGAAAAAGATCGTGACTTCATTTTTACGACATATGGAAAGCATGCTTAAATATTAACGAGGTTTCGCTTTGATAACAGCATCAGAGACACAAGACTGCATCTCTTGACATTAATAACGAATGACAACGAATTCCCTTGTTATGTTAATTTGCACATGCGATATGATCTAAACAAATACTCCACGTAATGTCTAGGAAAAAACCTGCCACTTAACTGCCACGTGCGAGAGGCGAGGAAAGACAGTCTCTTTTCATCTTTCGTCTTCGTATAAACGCGGCGAGCAGGCGGGTTGTTTAACCTCAGAGATTGTGGGTACGATTCTCGTTGACAATTACGCTCGTGGGCAGGGACGCTGGAACGATGTGAAGGCAAGGGGGCAGATTTTCGTGAAAGGGCAATTTTGAATTGATATATACTAAGAGATGTTTGCAAAACATCGGGAATTGAACTTCGCCTAATCATGTTTTCTATTTATTGGATGATAGGGGTGCGAGGGGGTTCTCCGCCAGGCGATTGTGCTATTCTTGAAGCTCAATGACTGCATTTCTTGCGTTTTCTGAAGCAAATTCGTAAAATAATTGCACTAACATTTCTGACAATTCGCTATTTCGCCAAGGCAATCATTTAAATCGAAAGGGCGCCTTTGCCCCCCCTTGCCCCCCCTGGTAAAGGTCAACGGGGGCGGCTGCCCCTCCTGCCTCCCAGTTTCGGCGTCCCTGGTCGTGGGTTTTCTTCGGGTATAATCTTGGACCCCGTTTACACTATACCAGATTGATATCGGAGTGGGTCAAATTTTGTAGGTATCGAAAGGCTGTGAAGATTTTTAATCTCAGAGACCCAAATAAACATGCCAATTCTGTCAAACTACTAAGCATTTGCTACTAATCATTGCTCCGTAACCGGCAAAAGAAGATGTCGTGACCGGCGAATCCGTTATAGTGTAAACAGGGCCTTGAACTGTCTTTGTCAGTGTAGATAGTGCCAATCAAGTGAACAAGCTTTCGTTGGTAGGCATGCGACTACCTGAAAAATATAAGGAGAATTTCGAAGTCCAGACGAAGGGCATTCGCTCGAAACGTCGAAATTCTCCTTATATATTTTCAGGTAGTTGCATCGCTACCAACGAAAGCTTGTTCATTTCTTCGAGTATCCCAGTTCCCTCCCAGAGGGTATGTTGAATGTGCCCGTGATCAGACATGATTCATAAGGTGGCTGGCAAAGGCGCCCTTGGAAAACCTTCGAGGCTTCGAGCAGTGTTAGAGAGGCTTCGAGCAGCTATAGACTAAATTTTGATCAAGGCAAGAAGAACGAAATACAACACCACAGCCAGAAAGAGCGTCTTAGAATGAGTAAAAGTGCAAAAATTGGTTGCTAAATGTTGTAAAATGAAGAACGTATAGCCCTGTGAAGTTCACAAATTTTGTATATGCTTGTATTGCGAGCGGTAAAAATATAACGAGCTGCGGAAATGCAACATCTATAGTGCGACATGTCAGGAAATAGTATAGTTTACTCGCGCAAGATGACAGACATAAATAACCACTTTCGGCTCAAAAATGGTTATTTTTCCTACGTGTAATGCAAATATTTACAAAATTTGCGAACTTCACAGGGCTCACTTTACAACAATTCGCAACCAAACTTTGCAATTTTACTCATTTCAAGATGCCCGTTCCATCTATGGTAATGGATTTCGTCTATAGGTGGAATTATTCAGTCAGCTTAGCTCTCAACTGCAAGTAAGAATGACTAGCCCCTCTCCCACCGCCCCGATCAAGCCAGGGTCAGAGTCGATGAAAGTTGGTAGTCACGCATTGGGACATTTCAAACTCAGGATTAATGTCAATCTTTTTTTTTTGATCCGGGCGTAACACGGATGACGCATACGATACGACAGATGATATACAGCAGTGTCATCCGCCAAACAAAATAAGATAAACGCATCTCTTGCAAAGCCTAGTCACTAAGGAGACTTTAACGAAAGCCTCTTAAAGCAATTGCCACGCAATCAAACTTTACTCATGTTTCATGTTGTAACAGGCGACTAAATAAAATTTTTGGCAGGTTCCAACTTCCTTGTTTGTGTCATATGCAAATACATGCAAATATCAAATAGAACGCGGTGACATTTTATGACAGCCCATCACTTTTTGACGTCTAAAATAAACAGAAACGCTTCGTGGCCATTATAATGGTTTCATGATTACATAGATTCAATTTTTTGACATTATTTTTGATATTAAAGTAGCCTACAAGAAAACATAGATAGTAGATTCTTTACCAAGCATGATCATTATGCTGTTTATGTTGCAAGTATGATATAGTAGTACACAAAATAATATCATCTGTTTGTACACGATGTATATTTTACTGCAGCTAATGCCGAATGGGGTCGCGAATCAATGTCTATATATCATAATCCACCCTGTGTGGCAGACAATTTGCGATTAAACATTTGTATAGTCAAATTTACAAGTCGTCGTGGATACGATCAAATGGGCTTTACATCGAATATTATATGTTTACCTAATTACATACGTAGCCTAGACTATTTTAGCTTTACAACGATTGTGATATTACTTTCTCAACTGTGTTCATCCTAGCCCACCCTATCAACCTTCCCTGCGGGAGAAAACCCGATCGAGCTGACTCATTGCCTTTGGAAGGCGCTTGTTGAGCTGATGACTGTTGAGTCCTCGCCTACTTCGTAATTCGATCGAGTCTTGTAAAAACTGCTATCTTTTATTTCTTCAGAAATCTTGTCTGGATCGACCGGAGTTAATATTTCTCTGAAGTTTTAAAATAGATGAGCAGAAATACACAAACTGAAACATCGGGTCAAATTTTAACCCGGGATTAGCGGAGAGCTGCATCTTTGAATGCAAGGAATGCAACGTTTTAAATTCTTTACTAATTCATCCAAAAGAAAATTGTTTTGGGGAAGAGAAACAAGAGGGTTAAGCGACAAATATGTTCCAATAATGTGTACCTTTTAATTTTTTCCTTTCATCTTTTATCCTTCCTACTTCCTATATCGTGCAGGAAATAGCAATCTAAAAAGCATTAGAGCCACGCATTTTTATCATGCTACCCGCGCCGTCTGTATAATTCAAGCCTCGCTGCGCTAATAACCTGTACGTTTTCAATCATATATCTCAACTTGACAGCTCTGCTACACAAACAATAATGTGGAGCTACGGCTTGCGAGAGATACATGCAACTATCTGAAAAATATATACAGGATTCTGTCGAAAGACCTTCGCTCAAACGTCGAAGAACTGCGTATATATATACTTCAGTTATAGTCAGTGCATCTGTCTCACGCCGGATCTGTTGTTATCGTCACTATAACAACCCTAGCACCGTTCGAGAATATAGAACAATAATTTGGGTCCGTTTATTGAATTTCTTTGGTGAGCGAATTTCCCAACAGGCTATCGCTAATTGATAGGGGATCCGAGGTACCTACGATTTAACGTCCTTATTCCGAGAAGACACGGAAGCCTAACCATTTACTGATGTCAATGTAACGGTCGCTCTTTCTGGTCAATATCTTAAGACCTTGAGTAGAGATCCGACCAAGAATTGAACCCGGCTCTCTTAGCTTGAAAGACAAGCGTCCGTGAACACATATAGGACGCTCGGGACAAATTCAAGCGCGATAGCTCTGGGTAGGGAATTGACTCGAGGGCATGCAGCTATAACTGCACGAATTACCGAATTATTAAATGCCACTAAACGCGTTTGCGTGCGTGGCCCTTTCAATATAACTGACTCACTTATTCTCATAAAAAACAACACGATAACATAGATTTGTATCAACTAAATTGTGGCTTCAATTTACACGCATATTTAATAAAAACTAGCACTATGCAATTTAAAACGCCGGGCATCAATGATACAGTCTTGGAATAAAACACGAGCGTTATTAACATGAATTTGGCATGCAAATACATAAGGTTTTGTTAATTGATTCATATTGTTCTTCACAAAAAATTGTTTTGAAAAATATCAGTTTAGCATTGTATCTGAACAGTACATTAGTTTAAATTTATTTGTAAAATTGTTAAAGGTTAAAAGATGTTTAAATATGAGATACAGGACATACAGTCAAACCAAAATGTTAAAGTTCCACTATTAAAGTTCCACACATGTCTTTTCACAAAAGGAACCTCGAAGCAGATGTTCCCAAGATCTTTGCAAGCTGTTCCAAGCTGTCTTCAAAGCCAAGCGTCAAAATAACCTCACGTATAGATACCGACTATGTTAAATTACCACGAAATGAACACAAATAAGTACATTTTAAGAAAGTTTGATATTCTTCAGAGATACACAGCAATAGGAAGAAGTACTAAAGTCAGGATGCAACCTTGTGTCAAGCGAACGCCCGATCCCTTAGTGGTATTCGATGCCATGGTCGTTGGCGCTGGCGCTGTAGTTGAACTAGTATTCGACTGCGATTGAACGTATACAAATGCCAAGCATAGAATGAGAACGAAGATAAATTTCCCAGACATTTTAAGTTTGCTTCAACGAATAAACAGAGCTTCTTAAAACACACAGAAGTTTCCTCCAAGACTTGGAACACAATACTTGCGCATCGGAGTGGCGCGACTGAAGATCACACCTCTTCGATGGAACTGGCCAATCAAATTCGTTTCATTTGCATCCTGAGTGCTTGGACAACCAATGACATTGGGAATAGGACGACTAATTTATGTACTGCCTTTTTGATTGGTTCGACTTTAAGATGAGCACGCAATTCTCCAGTAGAGCATAGAGTCACTTTAACTGAGGGGTAACTACTTCATCTTGCACGGATAATTTGGATCCGTGCACCACTGTCCTTAGACAAAGTTTTAAGTTAGCACTAATTTAAATTAAAGGGACATGGTAATATAAATTTTTATTTTTTCATTTGAAAGAACTTTTGAAACTATATATATTAACTTCTTTGAGCGATTTTTCATATCTTGCTTAGTTCTTGAAATATTTTCACACGAAGTGATGAGATGTCCACTGTCTCCGTCACAACAAGGATTAACCATATAAAACTATTCGTTGCTGACCAAATATTGATTGGTAGATGTTTTAAAGGTTTTGAGTGATCTTGATATTTCGAAGGGCAGACAGAGTATAGTTTTGAGTGCAAAATGATAAGTGTTTGTCTAGATAAAAATATTACGTGACCCCTGTTGTGACGTGACATGCATATCTACAAAAATTGAAGATGTCGGACATTTCATTTTCCTTTCAATCAAAATATTTGTAGAAGTAAGCAAGATATGAAAAAAAGGTATTAGTGTATTTTATACAGTCTTAAAAGTTCTTTCAAATGACAAAATACTGAAAAAAATACATCGCCATTTCCCTTTAAGGCCCCGTTTACATGAGACTGGAACGAAGTCAAACCGGGACCATTTGGTGTGGTCATAGTCACGAAAATAACTCAGACCGGTCCGGGAACGTCGCTAGACCTCTTTTAATGGGGTGTTAATTTTGCTGAGTTATCAAGGGAAATTTGCCGAGTCACTACATAAATTAATATTTTTTTCCCAAATCATTGGCGAGGGGCTGGTCGCAATTTTTTTTCCGGACATACAAAAAATTGTTGGAACATATCCAAATTTTTCCGGACATACAAAAATTTTTCCCGGACATATGATAATTTTTCCGAAAATACAATAATTTTTCCGGGCATATTATTTTTCCCAAAATACAAAAATTTTTCTCTACATATGAACATATCATAATTTTTAATTCCGAGCCACTGCAATATTTTCGATCACCACGAAAACAATTTTCCGATAAATCCGAAAACAATTTGCCGATTCTAGCAACACTTGGAACAACACATGAAAATTGCCTGGCAAGGGGAATAAATTGAACATTTTGTGATTTTCGTACCGGTCTCATGTAAACAGGGACTCCGGGACTGGGGGGGGGGTGCCCCCGCCCCCCTTTACCAGGAGGGGCATAGGGGGCAAAGATGCCCTTTCAATTTAAAAGATTGCCTTGGCGAAATAGCGAATTGTCCGAAATTGTCAGTGCAATTAGCGAATTGTAGCGAATTGTCAGTGCAATGGACGACTTGCGCTTTAGAAAAATTTTTAATCTGGGAATAACAAAGGATATTTTTGGAAAGAAGTTATCAAAATTAGAAAAACTGCAAAGTTTGGTTGCGAAATGTTGTAAAATACGGAAAATATAGCCCTGCGAAGTT